CGCGCCCCGCCTTCGCCCGCGATTGGCTGCACTGTGCAGACCCCGCCTTCCAGGTCCGCCTCCGGCTCTGTCGACCGCGCCTCGCGATTGGCTTTTCCCCAGCCGTCTTCTGCGATTGGCCCCAGGGCGCTGCCGTTCATAATCACTGACGCCCCGGCCGGAAGCAACCGCCACGCGCGGAGCCACTTCCTGTTTACTCGACGGGAAAGGTGCAGGTAGATGGGGAGGTTCCTGGCTGAGGATGGAGGAAAGGGAAGCCACTGAGTCGCACGAAAGGCGGGGCTCGCGCGAGGGGCGTCGCTCCTACAATGTGTCCGCGCATTGGCTCTATGCCTTTCACCTTCTCCAAGGTTACGTTACGCTTCGAAGTGTGGCGCTCTGCAGAGGTGTACGGCGCGCTGAGGAGGTGTGCGTGTCTGGAGGGTGTGGAAATATGGTCATGGGGGTGTTGGCATCTGGGGATTGTGGGTGCTTCGGTGTGGGCACCTCAGATGTAGGCATCTCAGCGTGTGCTGCATGCCTTGTGTGTGGGCACCTCAGGTATGTGGGCACCTTGGGGATGTTGGTACCTAAGGTGTTGACATGGACATCCAGGGGCACATTGGGTGTGTGGCTTTCTAGGGTATGCACACTGTGGTGGTTGGATATCTCAGGGCTACATCTCGGGTGTGTACAGATCAGATGAACGTCAGGCATTTGCTCGTATTGGGCATGATGCACACAAGTAAGCTACCACATCACAGACTAGTGCTGCTGTGAGGGATTTGGAAGAAAACACCATTGGATGCTCTTGGGCCCTGCAGCTTCTCCCTGGGAGAGAAGCTCTTCTTAGCCCACTTCATCAGATCCAGCAAGTTCTCGGTGGGATAATGGCTCCCTTTAAGTGGATGGTGTGTGTAAACACTTCATAATAGGCATGTCTCCTGGCCTGCTCTTAACCCAGGGCACTCCATCTGTCCAGATGCTGGACACAGTCCTAGACTCAGCTGTCCTTCCGAGAGCCTGACCCCCATGCCACCCTCCATTGCACTGTCCCCACAGGCTCCAAGGGCTGTGACAGATTAAATGCTCACCTAAGTGGTCACTTGTGACTTACTGTCCCTCTCATGTTCCCGCTTACTCCCTCCTCACCCTCAAAGCCTTTTTACTGTGTTCAGTTATGGATTCCTGGTTCAAAACAGCCCCTGAGAGAGATTTCAGTTCGCCAGGGCTCTGTGTTTGTTACCGTCTTTGCTTTGTCCTGTTTGCACCCGGCATTCTGCTCCGCGTCTGTCTGTGTGCACAGGTGTGTGTGGAAGTTGTACACGGTAGGGAGGTTTGTGGATCTAGCCCCTTGCGTACGACTGGCACTTCGGGCGCTAACCATGGCAGAGTTCCTCCCGCTGTTGTGCATGCTAGGGTTGGGAGACAGCTTTGGAGCAGTCCTGTAAGTGCCTGCAGCCACACGACACCAATACGAGCAGAGTCCCTCCATAGAGAGTACATGGGCCAATCAGACCTTCCGTCCCTGGGTCCTCGTGGAGCTGGAGACCGCACAGCATTCCCCCATAGTCACTCATTACTAGAGACTTGGCAGTAACAAGAGGTGCTAAGGTTGCACACCATGCAAAGTGTGACAGAGCTGCTGCTTCCTCCTGCAGATGGGGGCCCAAACACACCCACACACCTGTCCTCTCCCTGTAGGCCCAGCCCTCCTCTGTCAGCCAGTACCCCAGACCAGCTCCTGCGATTGCCTGGGCAGCCTGAGTTAGTGGGGCTATGAGCATTGCCAGCCTCCTGTGCGCCTTTCATTATGGAGAGGCAGGTAGAATCCTGGCCCTCTGCTTCTGTCTCCCATCAGCTCTCTGTACCTCTGTGTCCTTGTCTCAGTGGGGTCATCGTGTCTCCTGTGGCCGTTGGGAGCATTGAGTGAACCAGCACTGTGTGGCTGTAACTTTTCCTGGGGTGTGCTCACCCCAGATAGGGCACTAATGACGAAGCAGAATAACAAGTCTGCACAGGTGTAGCTGAGCACACTAATGATTTTCCTGGGCTTGGTTGTAGGAGCAGAGATGAGGGGTTACTTGTAGGAATGTAGATGACCCCCAAACTGCTGCATCACCAAAAAGACCACCCCAACATGGGTGAAGCGCCCCCCACCCCAGTTTACCTTACACCCTCTGTAGCACCTCCATCGATGAAACAAAGCTGGGACAGAATACAGCAGAGAGAGGCCCAGAAGGCTCTGGCCAGAATCTTGGGTGAGACTCCAAGCACCTATCTTCTCCCACCTCCTCGCAGTATGGGGCGCTCAGTAGGCTGGTCCTCGAGTGTCTCTTGGGGTAGCAGCTGTAGTGATTAAGATGGTGATGGGAGTCACATCCACACCTCGCCTGCTCTGTACCGCCTGGGCTACCCTGTGCCCATTGTTAGGCTTTACAGTCTTAACCGAGCCTCTGCCGTGGTCCAGCAAGGTTCCAGACAGCCTCCCTCCTTCCATGTTTCATGGGGCAGGGGCTGCTGTGGAGCAGTTCCTTCTGGAATCTGGGGGGAAGCTCATTAACACTCAGAAAGTCCCTGAAACTGACCAGAGGTAAAGCTCTGTCCCTCACAAGGTTACATAAGCATAAGAAACTGCCGAAGAGAGGAAACTCATATCCGCCTGGCTGCCTGCAAACCACTTAGAAAGCTCCAGGGTTCCAGCTCTCGGAGTCGTCACCCATGTGAGGGTAGGCTTTCAGTGATGCAGCTGCCTGTGAATTGCCCATGCTCTAGTAACCCCTCACCCATAGCCCTCTAACCTAGTAAATCCATTGGTTTGCTAAGCTGAACCTTGGTAGTATCCTTACCAAGGTCTGTGGGCAGGTCTTGTCCTGTCAACACAGGGCTAGCTAGAACTGACCCTCCTGAACCAGTGTGCCTTGGGCTCCTGGATAGTGGGAAGGAGAGCTGCCACCTGCAGTGAACACGGCTCCTGAATGCCACATGCTAGGGAGGAGCGGCAGGGGGACAGCCTCTATGTGCTCTACCCAAGCTCCAGAGAAGGGCGGCCTTTGTCCCAAGGTCACACACTAGCAGCAGGGGGTAGTTGAGAATGTGTGTGAGAATGTTCTGCCCGGGCCTGAGTGTTTGGGTGGACAAGGACCCTGAGCTTTGGGGACCAAGGTTGTGGGATTAGGGATAGCCAGCCCTGGCCAAGTCTGCAGGGAAGGGGCTAGCTGAGCCCGAGCTCCAGCTCAGCTGCCTGCAAACCAACCCTGAACTTCTTCCTGCTAGAGACAACAGGATGTGGACACTCAGGACATCCTGACCCAGAGGCAAGGGCTAAGACTAGCTTTGAGGGGGAAATGGCCCCTTCCGCTTGGGACAATGCGCAGAGTGACTAGGTGGGAGCAGTTTGAAATGGAGAGGAGTGAGGAGCATCCAGAGACCCTTCCCCTGCGGGTTCTGGGGGGGCTAGAGGCTTGGTAAAGACGGTTTAGAATAGCAAGGAGTAAGAAAGGGATGGGGGGATACTGATTAGGGACAGTGTGGAGGGGTGTGTGCGTGTGCGTGTGCGTGCGTGTGTGTGTGTGTGTGTGTGCACGTTTGTTTTAGGGCCATAGTGTCTGCACACAAGGGATACAGCAATAGTCCCTGAGGGAGCATTTGCCAGGAACATTCCCCCTAATGCAGAAGCAAGCCAGATTGGCACAGGTATGTGGGTGTTGGTAGAAACCCCCAGGTTCCTGGGTCAGAGAGGAAGAAGTCTAAGGAGGAAAGCCCTGTAAGGTGTCCCTGAGCTGTTCCCACAGGGTTACCAGCAGTGTGCCTGGGTTGGTGGAGCCAATGGTTTGCTAAGACAATATGGGCCAATAGTCAGCAAGACCTAGATTAGACTCAGGAGTGAATAACAGCCCAAAACCTTTTTAGCTCTGGACCTGTAGTCTGTCTTAATAGTCGTGAGAGCTAGTCAGTCAGCCTGCAAGACCTTTTATAGTATGGCTTCTCCAAAGAATCCAGTTCACGGTGCTGAGGTCTCTGGGACACTGTAGGAGCAGCCATGATGACATAGAGTCCTACACAAGATCCTGTCTCTTTGGATATGGGGAATGAGCTGGGCATTGAAAAGCCAAGAGCTGACAAGGGAGGAGCAGATGATTAAGTAAGTGCATATAAGAAGATAAGTACATGTTTTTCTGTGTCCCGCATCCTAGGTGTAAGAGGTAAATCATCACGGTCCATTTTCTGTATGAGGCATTTAGAGCTCTTCAAAGAAGCATAGCTAAGCAGGTACTCGGCACCTGTCCCCAGCAGAGGGCACAAGCAGCTGGAGCCTGCTTGTCTAGTCCCCTCAGTTCATCTTCAGGTTGAAAAACCAGACAATCTTCTATAATACAAAGGCCATGTATCAGAAAAGAGGAGGCGAATCCCTGGCCCCAGGAGGAGGGGGAGGGGGACCCATGCTAGACAAGCAGGAGAGACAGCATCACCAGACTATGGGGGGAAAGGGAGGAATCTTTCTACACTGGGGACTACAAAAACCATGGCTTCACAGCGTGACAGATCTGCACACTGACACCTGGCTTCTGCAGAAGTGAAAATAAATCTGTCTCAGTTTTACTACCAAGTCTCCGGTATTCTCACTGTGAATAAGGACCATTATATCTCATGTGGGGCTGCCAGGACAGACCACAAACTGGCTTGTTGGAAGCAACAGAAGCATGCAGTGAGGCCTGAGACCAGACTACCAGAACCACAGTGGGAGGGGGGCAGGGGCGGGGGGGGGCTCCTTCTGACACCTGAGGACACATGTCTTCCTTTGCCTTTCCAGCTTCTGGTGTGGCCAGCCTCTTTGTGTGTCCCTCAGCCTGTGGCTGCCTCTCCTTGTTGACAGTCTTTCCATAGTTGCCTTCACTTTGTCTTTTGTAAGAGTTCCTGACATATCGGCACAGGCCCACCCTAACAGCCTCTTCTTTACCTCATCACCATCAAAGACTTTTCCAAAGATGACCGATCAGTCACCGATTTGAATGTATCTTTAGAAGGTACCTAATTCGTCTGGTAATGGTGGCCTCATGCAGGTGCAAGTGATGAAGCATTACATTTAGATGATACCCACATGTACACACAGGTCAGGAGCAGGGGGCAGTCACTGACTAGGGGAATATGATTTGGGGGCTCCAGAGCTTGGGTTGACACTGAGGCCCAGGAGCTTTTTCCTGGGACTTTTAAGAGGCTGTTCTCAAAGTGGTCAGCAGATGGCGCAACTACCCACACCCAGCCTTCCTGGGGAGGCCATAGCTTCACAGCTTGGCAGGCATGGGGTGTTTTAAAGCCCTAGGTGAAGCCACTATCTTCCTGTGGAAGACTCGGAACCCCAGCCTTAAAGAGTGGATTCTCATCTTGGTTTCCTGATGCTGTGACTTAGCATTTTGGAATATCAATGGGTCTCCCCCCTCACCTTCTTTTTGAGGTGCTGTGAATGGATCTCAGGCCTCACACATGCTAGAGGCCAGTGCCCTGCCACTTGGGATGCTTCACCCCAAGACTGAACCCCACCTTTGATGCCTGTGAGGATCCTGAGGTGGGTTCTCAGGGCTGCATGGGGCTCCTCCAGGAGCTGGTACCACCCTCCTCCATAGATAGAGATCTGTGGGCAGCCTGGAGGGTTGATGTGTTTGTGCATGTGGGTCCTTCCTGCACCAGCTGTACTTTGGGTTGTGCACAGGGGACGTCTCTTGGGTCTGCCCTCCTGGAAAAGCACCACTGGAAGTTGTCCACAGGAGACGGTCTTCGCACTGTCACAAGCTCTGCAGTGGCAGTTCTGACATTGACCCAAAGCATCCCCAGTGTATGCAGAGATAACTTTGAGAAAGGACCCACTCTTCCCAGGCTGGAGAGATGGCTCAGCAGGTAAAGGTCTTTGCTGCACACCTGACGACCTGAGTTCCTGGATCCCACATGGAAGGAGAGAAGTAACTCATACAGATTGTCTTATGACCTCCACACACTCTCTGTGCATGTATACACATACACACACAAATTTAAAAATTAGTCAAATGCACACACACAAGAGAAACCAGCTCCTAACAACTAAGACACAGGGCTATGGGCACAAAGACGCCAGCTCCAGACAGTGTAGCCTTATGGGCAGTCAGCCTGACTACAGCCCCGGTGTGTTTCTGTGGTAATTTTCCCACAACCACCATGCCACCAGGATGATGCTTTTGCTCCATGTCCCACTGAGTCCAAGAGGGGCTCTCTGGAACACTAGAGCTCCAGTGTCCACCTGGTCTGATGAGGAGGCCTGGTCTTATGCAAGGTATGTCCACTAATAGACCTCCATGTCCCCCATGTGGCATTAGAAGGAACCTCTGTGGGGTTCCCTTTCGGAAGTGGGAAGTGGGAGGAATCTGGGCTAGGAGATATTTTATTTTTTTAGATTAATCCTCATATATCCCATGTTTTATCTAGGGCTGGGGATCGAACCCAAGCCTTTGTGTATGAGAGGCAAGCACTCTGCCAACAGCTACAGCCCCACCTCCACACTGAAATCTTGAAAGGATCTGAGGCACCTTCTCTGATTCTGAAAGACATGGCAGGCAAGGCTGAGAGTCCTAAGACATGCCCGGGCTGTACATGTAAGGTGTGTCTACCAGTAGACCTCCATGTCCCCCATGTGGCCTCAGAAGGAACCTTGGCTGGCCCAGGAAAGAGACTGTAGAGAGAGGTTGGGTATCTTGTCTGCCCCAGGGCAGGCAGCCAGTGGCCCTCTGTGGACATCTATCTCTTCTTCAAGTGAGACTTCCACAGAAGAGTCTGCCCAGGGTACAGTTTGAGGTAGAGTTCTGCTACTGCTGCACAAGTGACCCCAGGCCAGCCTCTAAGCCCTCAGAGGTGCATTGCACAAGAACCCTAGACCCCAGAAGCCCGAGGTTGGGACAGCCAGACCTCTCTCCAGCGTTGGTGGTTCTGTAGTCCCTACCAACCCAGTCATCTCCCTGATGGGTCCTCTCGTGTCTCCTCTGCCCTACAAGGATCCCTGTTGGGTTTGCAACCCATTCTGATAATCTAGGATGATAATCTGAAACCCCTTGATAACTTCACCAAAGACCCTGTTTCCAAATCAGGCCTCACTCGGGGATGAGGATATGGTCTGACTTTCCTAGGGAAGCTATTCAATCCAGATGAGCCATCATCTCCCCAATGCCTCAGTCTGTCATGTGAATGGATGTCGCTCTTGCTTGTAGTGATGGCTAATAACATTCTCGCCACCCTGGACCTTCCTCCATCCTGCCCACTGCCCCTTGGTAAAGGGTAAAGATAAGGTGATGAGTGAGGGCCTGGGATGGGTCAGGCACACCCACGTTCAGAAACCACATGCAGCAGTTCTGGCTAGTGTTCTTTCCAAGTGATACTAGCTAGAGTCATTTGGGAAGAGAGAACCTCAATCGAGAAAATGGCCCCACCAAACTGGCCCGTGGGCAAGCCTGTGCAGCTTTCTCTTGATTGATGAGAGGGTATAGCCCGTTATGGGTGATGCCGCCCCAGGGCAGGTGGGCCTGTGCTATATAAGAAAGGTTGAGCAAGCCATGGGGAGCAAGCCAGTAAGCAGCCTTTCTCTATGGCCTCTGCTTCATTTCCTGTGTCTAGATTTCTGCCTTGAGTTCCTACCCCGACCTTCTTCAGTGATGGAGTGTGACCTGAGAGTTGTAAGTAGAAATAAATCCTTTCTTCTCCTTTTGATCATGGTGTTTTTAATCACAGCAGTAGAAACCATAATTAAGACAGTAGCTATATATATACTCATTGAAGCTGTGCAGGCTGGAGGTTCAATGACTGAGCAGGAACCAGCTTCCAGAGAGGTTGTTGTGTTCCATATCATGCTCACGATCCAGAAGGCACAGAAATAGAGTGACTGGTGCAAGCCAGACAGCCTGGGTCTGTGCGGCAGAATCCCACGCCCTAACTCCATGCTGGGCCACAGCCCATGTGAATGGCATACATTTCTCTCCCACAGTAGGTTTAGAGCTTTAGAAATGGAGGTGAGAATTGGTGAGCCACAGGCTTCTAAAGGAGTTGTTTGGCATTTGGGCAGGCACCAGGTGTATGCTTTGGTCTCTGGCTTTTGCCAAATTTTTGGTTATCACTAATGATGTCATCTTCAGAAATAGGTGGCTGTGGTCAGCATGTTGCACCTGAGTACATGAAGATACCTTGGGCATTTGCTTCTTTTTGCATTTTGAGAGAGGGTCTTACCATGTTGCACAGGCTAGCCTCAAACTCCCAATCCTTCTGCGTCAGCCTCCTTCATAAAGCACTGGGATCACATATAGGTGTCACTATGTCCGGCTGTGGAGACAACCTCTGATGTCAGTTAGGTTGGCCTTTCACTTGTTAGAAAAAGCCATGAAAACTCAGATGAGACATTAGCTTATTTTCTTGGGGTGGTGGCCTTTGGCTCAGCAGCTGATGTCTCTGTAACTGCAGGGGATGCCTTGGGTTGCTGTCTGTCGGGCTCTCTCTTCTAGCTCCTGCAAGATGCATCAGGCTGCAGAGCAGGGCGGCCAGCATGGCTCTGGGAAAGGAGGGAGCGGTTTGCTTTGGAAATTAGCACTGTGGTTTGAGTCCTCTCCCTCCCTACATTATTTTTCCTCCAGCCAAAGACTATTTTAATTATTTCCAGCAGAGAATGAAATAACAACAATGAAAAGTATTGTCTCCTCGGGGCACAATGCTCCAGGCCTTTAATCCAAGCAACTGGTAGGGACAGGCAGAGCTCTGTGAGTTCAAGGCTAGCCTGGTCTACATAGGGAGTTCCAGGACAGCCAAGGCTAGTGAGGGTTGAGGGGGGGGAAGTGCTTTTAGGAAAATGAGAGGAGTTGTTCTCTAGGTGTGAAAAATGGAACTACTGCCACGACTCTTGTCTATTTGGGATGGACCGTCAAACAAAGTCCAGCTCGGAGTGTCACCACAGTTATGACTCAGTGACATCTGAGCACACTGCTGGATGGGAGGTGTGGTGACAGGGTGGGCTAAGGAAGGGAAAAATCTAGGATCCCAGGAGGTGTGTGCTGTGGCAGTGGGCTCTGGCCTGGATGTAAATGCTACATAACACTCCTTGAAAGCTCATGGTTAAATAAATATATACGTAGGCAGGGTGTGGTGGTGCACGTCTTTAGTCATAGCACTTGGGAGGCAGAGGCAGGTGGATATTTTAGTTCAAGGCCAGCCTGGTCTACAAAGAGTTCTGGGAGAGCCAGGGCTACAGAGAAATTCTATCTCGAACAGAACCAAATATATATGTGTGCGTGTATGTATGTATGTACTTACATACACGTGTGTGCCCATGTGTGCCCGTGTGTGTGTGTGTGTGTGTGTGTGTGTGTGTGTGTGTATGTGTATTACTGTTTCATCTTTTTTTAAATATTTATTTATTTATTTATTTATTTATTTATTTATTTATTTATTTATTTATTATGTATACAGTGCTCTATCTGCAGACCAGAAGAGGGTAACCGATCTCATTACAGGTAGTTGTGAGCCACCATGTGGTTGCTGGGAATTGAACTCAGGACCTCTGGAAGAACAAGCAGTGCACTTAACCGCTGAGCCATCTCTCCAGCCCTACTGTTTCATCTTAATGTATATCTGTGTACCACATGTGTGCCTGTGTCCACAGAGGCTCAGAAGAGGCCATGGGATCCCCTGGAGCTGGAGTTACAGAGGGTTGTGAGTGGCCATGTGGGTGCTGGGAAGCTGCAAGAGCATTCAGCTCTCCTGACCACTGACCTATCTCTCCAGCCCCAGAAGCTCGGGATTTTGATAGATAAATCCAATCTGTACCCCATGAATGGACCAAGCAGACCCTAAAGTGCAAAGTGTCATGTGGCTAGTTTCAATAAAGGCTAGAACTGAGTGAGCCACCAGCCTCCTGAAGCCAGCACTGTGGTCTTCAATATGTCCAATACCCACAAGGGGGTGCTGTGTCGACACTCCAGTTACTGTAGATAATCCTGAAGTTCTTAAATTAACAGGTTTAAGGCAAGTGCAGCTAAATTCCAATGCAATTTGACAGGAACTGAATAGATTAACCTCCAAATTAATTTGGAAGGATGACCAAGAATGACCATTATAGGGCCAACAAGATGGCTCAGCAGGTAAAGGTGACTGCTGAAAAGCATGATGACCTGAGTTTGATCCCTGTGACATACATCATAGAGAACCAATTCCATCCAATTGTCTTCTGATCCCCACTCATGCACTGTGACACATGTGCTACCCAATAAGTGAATAAGTTTAATAAAAAATTAAGAAAAAGAATACCGATATTGTTTGCAGGGAAAACCAAGTTACACACTTCACGGACCTAAATATACAACTATGTAAAGCCTTCGCCCAGAGCTATCATGGGCATCTCAGTGGCCAGCTCTTATGCTGTCTTATTCCAGCAAAGAAGGAAAAAATGGTACAATAATTTGGGATGGAATCACTGGAAACACTCAGAAACAGGTGCTGTTTGTGTCCAGCTAGGAGAGAATGTGGTATCAGTTGTAGCCAGGTGACTGGGTAGCTGGCCATATTCTCTCTTAACGGCAGACACTGGGGTGGACTCCACACACAGCAGATTCAACAACAGAACACATAGCCATTGTTCTAAGCCAAGTGCTTGCTTATTTATTTATTTATTTATTTATTTATTTATTTATTTATTTATTTTTGGGATTTTTTTCAAGACAAGGTTTCTCTGTGTAGTTTTGGTGCCTGTCTTGGAGCTCGCTGGCCTCGAACTCACAGAGACCTGCCTGCCTTTGCCTCCTGAGTGCGCCACCACTGCCCGCACTCATTTATTTTTATACACAGATTTACGTACGGATATTACCATGCCAGTACTTAATGAACTTGGAGCGTGACCCTTCCCCTCGTTCCTGTGCTTAGTTCTCAGTGATGCGGAGACAGACCGAGTCCACAGCTCATGGAGCCAGGCTGCTTCATCAACTGTGTTCTGACTGTCACTCCAGCCCATCATTTGAAACAATTATGTCCTACAAGCTGTCACTTCATGAAAAAGCAACAAGGTAGCTAATTTTTGGAGAATATTTGTTATGTTTAATTTAGTAGCTGTAAAAAGAATTTGTTTGTTGTGAGTTATAAAAGTGTATGAAACATGTGCCATCTGATTTCTAGTTTTGTGGGGTTTTTGATGGTTTTTTGTTTGTTTGTTTGTTTTGAGATAAGGTCACATGTTGCCCAGGATGGCATCAAACTTGCTACGTAGCTAAGGATGACCTTGAACTTCTGCTCTCCCCGCCTCTACCTCCCCAGGGCAGGTGTGTAGCACTACACCTTGTTTGTGTAGCGTTGGGGATTGGACCCAGAAAATCATGCATGCTAGGCAAGCACTCTGCTAACCGAGTATAATCGAGTATACTAACCCGGTATATCCCTGGGTTCTGATTACGTTTAAAATGACAGACTCTACGTGTCCTCTTTACTCCATCATTGTGTTGGGAATTAGACACTCATTAGGCAAGCAGATGCTCACACACTCTCATAGGAGCCAGAATGGACAAGGAAAGTGTCTCTGGGTCCAGGGTGAGACTCCAGCCAACACCAGTCTATGTGATGGGCTTTGCTTGAAGATGTGAGCTCCATACTACAGGGTCCACCTACCTCCACCTGACTGGGAACAAGGACTCTGGGAATAATGGACAGACCCACTCTGCCCATGTATATTCCTCCTACTTTAAATGACACCTGGGAATGGACACATCTGCCATGGAAGAGGGTGTACAGGTATCATCGCCTAACCACAAGGACTCCAACAGGATGTACCTGACTCCTGTCTGACTGACCACCTGACACTTACCAGGACTCTTTACATGGCAGGGAGTTCGTGCTTGGACAGGGCATGAGCAGAGCTGGAATAACCTAAGGCCAATAAAGCTTTGACCCAGGGAAATCGTCAAGTTGAGGAGGTCTAGAAATTTATGCACGAAGCCATGTACTTTTGTAAAAATAGCAAAATCATTTCCTTTTGTATAATTTTTTTTCAATAAGGTCCCCACATAGGATTCAGCATACTAAAAGAGCAGACCCTGCCCCACCTAGAGATTCTCTTTCTAACCCAGGACCACCTTCTTTCCTCTGGTGAGCAGAGAAGATTGTGAGGTGGAGGCATCTTTCGCCCACCCACCCCCAGATCCTGGCCCCAGGGCACGGTTTAGCAGAGGAGACAGTGATCTTTTCCAGGGTCCTAATCCATGCATGCACACCCTACTGATTGTGCACTCATGAAAGGCAGCTCCAGGAGAGAGAGGTGCAGAGAAGGACCAGCAGATGGACCCGCAGCAGTTTCTGGCTTGGGGAGGCCCCTAGCTGAGGTGGGGCATTTCACGATTTCTTGGGTGCAGACACAGGAGGCTGGTACTTTTAGAGTCACCCAGAGGGCTTGGGTCAGCCTCTGCTATTGAGATCCAGGGAGGGTCCAGTGATGAGTTTGGGCAGAAGGGCAAGATCCAGAACAGAACAGTGAAGGGCAAGCTAGGGTCCTGTCTGGGGAATCAGATAGCAAGTTCCAGGACCAGTTCTCTCTCTCTCCCTCCCCCTTTCTCCTCCTTCTTCTTCTCCTCCTCCTCCTTCTTCTTCTTTCTCCCTCCCTCTTCCTCCCTCCCCTCTCCTTTCCTCTCCCTCCCCTCCTCTTCTCTCTCTCCCTCCCTTCCTCTTCTCTCTCCCTCTCCTCCTCTCTCCCTCCCTCTCCCTCCCCTCCTCTTCTCCCTCTTTCTCCCTTCCCCCCTCCCTCCC